GGGCAGGGGCAGGGGCAGGGGCAGGGCAGGGGCACGGTCTGGGCCTCGTCTGCTGTTCCATCCCTCTTTTTTGGGTTGGTTCATTCTTACTCTTTTCTGTGTGGACACTTCAAGGTGATATCATGCGAGAGAGGGCCATGAACAACAGACATAAACATTTTTCCTCGAGACTCCTTAGCCAGCCAGCAGTGGTCAGCAAGTAGCACGTCGTTCTTGAGCCCATTCTTGAGCGGCCGGCGGTGCGACCTAACACGACACAGTCCCGCCCAGGGTGCCCATCTGGGAAGTGAGAATCCGAGCTTCCTGAGGCGAGAACAGGTCTCTCGAATTATCCGTGAGCGCATTCTCACGTTCCCAAGGTACCGCTTTCCCCAACATCCCCTCACGCCATCTCTCTGCCCTGTGACCTGCAGAACTGCCGCGTGGGGCAATTACTCCGCGTTCGCCGACTTCGTCCTGCTGGGGCTGTTCCGCAGCTCGCGCGCGCCCTGGCTGCTCTTCGCCCTCATCCTGCTGGTCTTCCTCGTCTCCATAGCCAGCAACGCCACCATGATCGTGCTCATCCGCGCGGACCCCCGGCTGCGCACGCCCATGTACTTCCTGCTCAGCCAGCTCTCCCTCATGGACATCCTGTACATCTCCACCATCGTGCCCAAGATGCTGCTGGACCAGGCGACGGGCCGGCGAGCCATCTCCTTCGCGGGCTGCACGGCCCAGCACTTCCTCTACCTGACCTTGGCGGGGGCCGAGTTCTTCCTGCTGGGCCTCATGTCCTACGACCGCTACGTGGCCGTGTGCAGCCCGCTGCGCTACCCGGTGCTCATGAGCCGCAGGGTCTGCCTGCTGATCGCGGCGGCGGCCTGGCTGGGGGGCTCCCTGGACGGCTTCCTGCTGACCCCGGTCACCATGCAGTTCCCCTTCTGCGCCTCGCGGGAGATCAACCACTTCTTCTGCGAGGTGCCTGCGCTGCTGAAGCTGTCCTGCGCCGACACCTCGGCCTACGAGACGGCCATGTACGCCTGCTGCATCCTCATGCTGCTCATCCCCTTCTCCGTCATCGCGGCCTCCTACGCCCGCATCCTGCTGGCCGTGTGCGCCATGCGCCAGGCCGACGCCCGGCAGAAGGCGGTGGCCACCTGCTCCTCGCACATGGTGGTGGTCAGCCTCTTCTACGGGGCCGCCATGTACACCTACGTGCTGCCCCACTCCTACCACACGCCCGAGCAGGACAAGGCGGTGTCGGCCTTCTACACCATCCTCACGCCCATGCTCAATCCGCTCATCTACAGCCTGAGGAACAGGGACGTCGCGGGCGCGCTGCGGAGGGCCCGGGAGCGGGGCCTGTGTGCCGGGCGGGTGACCGCTTTCTGAGGACGGCTGCTTCCCGCCAAGCATGGCGCTCACTCGAGGACACGGGCCTGGTCGCTCGTCTGTGTTCAGCTGTCTCTCTGCGGGGAGCCTGCGCCTGTCCTGGGGCCAGCTCCAGAGGGCAAGCTTGGAGTGCGAAGGGCTGGGCTTCAAGGGATTGGAGCCGCGTTTCTGGAAACACCTAAGGGATCACAACACTGGTCATCGCGGGTAGAGAACGAAGTGGGGCTCTCGCCTTCACCAAGGCCCGGCCCTGGCAGCCTGTTGGGGCTGCAGCGGTCACTGCGGAGAAGACGCCCCGCTGTCCCTCAGGGCTGCCCCTTGGCCTCTCCCTCTAGCATCTGATGCTAGGAAGACCCAGCTCTTCCCATGTGATTTTGACTTTTCCACCTTTTATTTTAGGGTCACACTGACATTTCCCCACATGACTTTTGTCATTTTTAGAACTATTTCCTTCCATCAGGCCATCAAAAAAAAAAAAATTGTTGTGGCTCTGTGTGTTCTCGACTGGACTCGACTGTCAACACTGCTTGTGGACACAAAGGTGTGTGTCCCATTTTGGAAGCCACCAGCATTTCGAGACTTGCATTGATTCTTTTGCTGTAGAGCTTTGCTACAATCTTTCCAGAACAATGTATTCTGCCTCTAAAATGTGATTTGTGATCTTGGAAAGATGGGTGGCTCCATCATTTTCTACTGCCCATGTGGCGATTCCTAGCGCAACAGCTCCATAGTGAAACGATGGGGAAGTGTAAGTCACATCCCCACATTTAAGTTGTTTGGTGAACTGGTATGTTTCACTTTGGATCCTAGTGCCCAGTTATGGAACTCTTGTGAGGGTTAAATGTTTGTTCTCTTGGGAAAACAATGTAGATTGGTCACTTTTTTATATTTTTTTATATTTTAATTTAGCTTAGTATATCTTATTATTCTAACATTTTTCTCTTTTGTATTAAACATCATTCCTCTGATAAAGTGGAGAAAATTATGTTTATTTCTCTTTCCATTACTTGTTCTCACATGACTGAGCTCACCTTAATCTGATTTCTCTGTTCCCATTTTCCTGTATCTTCTGGATTTCTGATCATATATTCAGTGCCTGAGAAGGAAATCATTGCAGAGAACAAATGCACCTCCCTAAATCTTCATCTTGAAACTAAATTTTGTTATCTAAATATATGTAGAAGAGTTATCTCAAATTTGAAATATATTCTAGAAAATGCTAAGCTTCTCCTCTTAGAAAAGAAACTCCTGAATTTCTCTACTGCATTTCCACAGAGGATGGGGTGGAGGACAACATTTTCTCTTATCCCTAAGTGTCGCATTTTTGTCAGGGACGCCCAGCTTAGAACTAGAAGTTGGACATGACTCTGAGAGTGCGCCCTGACCTGACCTCCTGGGATTCCATAGCCCTGGGTCTTCTCACTTCGAGTCTTATTTTCTCCACCTGAGCCATGAAGAGAACGCTCTAGGTGGGACTCGGAAGCTGGAGCTACTCGATGATGTGGCAAAGATAGGTGTGCCTCCTGCAGAGACAGGAAAAGTGGGTGGTGTGAAGGCGCCGCGCTCTCCTAGTAGAGCAGCTGCCCACTCCAGATGCAGCCTCTCATCAGATGTTTATTGAACCAAGTTGGATATGTTCGTTTGTCTTATTGTATCCCTGATTGTCAATGTTTTGAACTAGGTGGCTCTAACCCAGCTCTTACTTCACAAGTAGTACTGAGGGAAAACTGGGCCACCAGTGCAAGCCGTTTTGGCTGAGGATGCAGCTCAGAACCTTGAGGTGTTCTTAAAAGTACTCCATCATTCTCCAGGGAAAAGTGAAGCCTGACCCCGCTCCTGCCCAGACATGGTCTTGTGCCACAGCACTGCCCTCACGGCAGGATTCCTTCTTCAGAGAAGAGGCTACAGGGGTGATGGAAGCTTTCTAGCAGGAGATCTTTAATGAAACAGGTGGAACATGCCTGACATCATCGTGTCTGGCTGGGCATCTCAAGGCCTGAGATAAATGACAGCCACGCCTCCAGGGCATGAGGAGTACCTGAGGTGCTCGTGATTGACACAGATTTCCACAGACTTTCGGAGCAAAAAGAGACAAAACACCCAAATATGAGGAAATTTATTCTTGGAAGGAAATAACTTAGCCAAATTTGTAGGGCTTACCTCCCCCGCTTCTCAAGCCGGTAAATCGCAGAGGCCTTCCTCCAAGTGTATTTCTTCTGCCTGGATTGTGACACAGTGCTGACCCAGGAATTTCACACACTGAGTGAACGATTTTCCTGTAGCATACTCTCGTCAATATCAGCCCGCTCTCACTTTCTCTCCTCTGTACTGATTTCTAGCCCTCTTTCACTACGCTTTTCACCAGCTGCCTCACCTGCGCCCTGTGCGCCTGCCCTGATCGCCCGCCCTGTGCGCCCGCCCTCTGCACCTGCCCTCTGCGCCTGCCCTCTGCACCTGCCCTCTGCGCCTGCCCTGTGCGCCTGCCCTGATCGCCCGCCCTCTGCACCCGCCCTCTGCGCC